TCGATTATTGCCGTTTGCCGCCTGGATATTGCAGGTAGCAGGGGTTTTTGCCCCAAAATCTGTTGCCAGTCGCGGGAGCTCCAGCCAGGCACATCTGCTCTGGCAAACAATTTTTAATGCTTGGGATGGGAGAACGTTCGTTCTTTATATAATTGAAAAAGCATACAATTGTTAGCATCTTTTGTTCAAACAAATTGTCTGACAACATTCCTTAGAACATTTCTTTGAACATTTGTCCATTCTTATTTACGGTCCTACGTTGAGTATGGCTGTTGGCTAACCTTTGACTCTGCAGTACATGTGGTGTGCAGGTCTCCATGATGCTCTGTCTTCCAGAACCATAAAAAAAAAAAAAAATAGGCATAACCCACAACAGCTGGAATGACAAATGGTAGATGTGACTGTGCACAGGTTGTGTGTTTAAAGGACTGCTGGTTGTGTGGTCTATGCGTGTCCCTTATGATCTCACTTAATGTGTTATGTCCCATAACCTGTTTGGTTGCACATGAATGAAATACAGTGTAACTATGAGGCGCAAAAAAAATCTGGACAAAATCTTTTGTAACAAATCCAGCTCCCTTAAAGGAACACTATAGCATTAAGAATACAAGCGCGTATTCCTAATGCTGTAGTGCCATGTTTTGCCGTTTAGGTAACTGGCCCCCGCCTGCAAGGAGAAAAAATTATTTTACTTACCTTTTCTCCCTCACAGCGCCAGTCTCTGTAGTTGATTATCTCAGCCAATCTAATGCCATGGGGGGCAAGTGTGCTTGTGTAGCAAAACACTGTGCTGTGCCCATCAGATTTACTCTGCTCTTTAGTTGGGAGCATCTCTTGCAACTAGAGGCATGTAAACCCTGCAATAAGGTATTGCTGTTCAGCAGAGTAGAACTGTTTTCAGTTACAGGGTTAAACCTGTGGGGGATTCATGGCACCCAGACCACTTAATTGATATGAAGTGGTCTGGATGCCTACAGTGTCCTTTAAGGGAGCATATGTTAAAACATGCTGTATGCTATGGGCAGAATGATACACCATTACTGGAGATTTAATTAGTGGGAGGGGATATCGATCTA